TATAGAGATGCACCTGTGTGTGTGTGTATATATGTATATATATATATATATTCCGGATGGGGGTGGGAAGATCATTCCACCAGCCAGGAACAGTGAACAAAAATCTGTAAAGTGAGTTTGTGCCTCTCTGTGATGGTACCATGGGCCATTGTTCACTTGTAGATCTCAGGCTTCTGGAGTAGATGTAGACTCGTAAGAGTGAGTTGAAGTAGGAGGGTGCTGAGCCCATGGCTGTTCTATATGCAAGCATCAATGTCTTGAACTTGATGCGAGCCTCAACTGGTTGCCAGCACAGTGATATAAAGAGAGGTGTGACATGGACCCTTTTAGGCTCGTTAAAGACCAGTCGTGCTGCTGCATTCTGAATCATTTGTAGAGGTTTGATTGTGCATAATGGAAGTCCAGCTAGAAGAGCATTGCAGTAGACCAGCCTAGAAATGACAAGGGCCTGATCTTTCTGATGTTATACAGTGCAAACCTGCATGATCGAGCGGTTTTTGCAATATGGTCTTTGAAAGTCAGCTGGTCATCAAAGATTACACCAAGATTTCTGACCGAACTTGATGGGGTAATTGTTGATTAACCTAGCTAGATGGTGAAATCATGCTGTAGAGTCAGAGTGGCTGGGAAGACAAGAAGCACAGTCTTTGCCAGGTTGAGCTGTAGGTGATTTTCTTTCATCCAAGCCGAGATTTTCGACAGGCAGCCTGATATCTGTGTAGCTACCGTTGGATCATCTGGTTGAAATGAAAAGAGAGAGCTGTGTGTCATCAGCATAGCAATGGTAGGAGAAACCATGTGCCTGTATTATGGGTCCCAGTGATCTAGTGTATATGGAGAAGAGAAGGGGTCCAAGAACTGATCCCTGAGGAACCCCAGTGACCAGTTGATGTGCTTTGGATACCTCCCCTGTCCAGGCAACCCTGAAAGATCTACCTGTGATATAGAATTCAAACCAGCCAAGTGGAATCCCTGTGATGCCCAGTGATGAGAGCGTGGACAGAAGAATCTGATGATTCACAGTATCAAAGGCGGCAGATAGATCCAGTAGAATGAGAACTGATGATTTGGAATCAGCTTTCGCAATCCGCAAGGTTTCAGTGACTGACAGTAATGCAGTCTCAGTTTGAAGGCCACTGCTGAAACCTGATTGGTTAACGTCCATTTGGTTATTCTGTTAAATAAGTAATGATATCATTTAAGGGAGAATTTTTGGGGGTTTTTTTACCCCAGATTTTTCAGCTTAAAAGGGCTGAATTTGCTGTCTTTTCTCAAATTGTGATAATATTTGCCAGCATTTTTTTCACAGCCAGCATGTTACAGTGAAACACTTGAACGTATATTAATTTGTTATGGATTTTTATTAGCTAGTGTTACTTTCCCTCCTCTCAGGTTAACATTATTTTGCAGAAAAATTGTGGAAATGCAAAAAACAAACAAACAAACAAAAACAAGAATGCAAATAATGTGAAGATTAATTGATTCTGTAAATTGCTGTAGGGACTGGTTCAAATGTAATTTTAATTAAATTATTTATTAAACCCAAAAATGAAAATTAGCCCATGATTTACTCACCCTCCAGCCATCCTAGGTGTATATGACTTTCTTTTTTCTGACGAATCCAATCGGAGTTATATTAAAAATTGTCCTGGCTCTTCCAAGCTTTATAATGGCAGTGGGTGGGTGTTTCTGTTAAACAGTCCAAAAGAAGTCCAATAAAGCGCATCCATCCATAATAAAAAAAAAAGTGTCCCACACGGCCTCGGGGGGTGAATAAAGGCCTCCTGTAGCGATTCGATGCATTTTTTTGTAAGAAAAATATCCATATTTAAAATTTTATAAACCGTAATCTCTAGCTTCTTCTAACTGTTGTATGCGCGTTCATGCACCAGTGAGAAGTGACGAACGCGGAAGTAGAGAGAAGAGAACAAAACAAAACACTGGTCATGAATTAGAAGTACAAAATGAGGATTTGTAAAGAAAAATGTCGGAGGATTTCGATATAAGCCAAGAGGAGACAGGTTTTCCTTTGTTAAAGTAAGGAAATTTTACTTCCTTTGCTCCTGTAAACAAACCTGCCCACTGACATTATAAAGCTTGGAAGAGCCAGGATAATTTTTTATATAACTCCGATTGGATTCGTCTGAAAGAAGAAGGTCATATACACCTAGGATGCCTTGAGGGTGAGTATATCATGGTCTAATTTTCATTTTTGGCTGAACTATCCCTTTAATTATTGTTATATACCTGTGCATACAATTGTCGATTTGTATATTTTTTATTCCTTATTTTACTTGTTCTATTTTTTATTTATTTTTATTTATTATTATCTGTGTTTTTTGTTCTGTAACTGTCATTCTGTTACACTGTGGAAGCTTCTGTCACGAAAACAAATTCCTCGTATGTGTAAACATACCTGGCAATAAAGCTCATTCTGATTCTGATAATAATAATTAATAAACATGAAAGCTCATATCTGTGACCTTCTGGCTTTACCATATTTGATGCTAAATTATATCTCTGTAAACTTTCATTTTGGTGAACTACAATACTTATTGTCGCTATCCAAAATACATATTGTTGCTTTTTTCTATTGTTCTAAATTTTGACACCCTTAGGCACTGCACTTTCATCATCTAACTAAGAAAGGTTAAACTAGTACAAGAGATGATGAAAATGACGGGGAATGGTTCGTAATCTCCTTCCATGTGTTACTCCCTATTTCTGAACCCTCGCTGTGAAACTGACTTTAAGCCCTTTGTGAATGTAGTGCCAGGTTGGATAGTCACACAGGGTC